GGAATATTTATAAATTTCGAACGTTACAAAACATTTAACTTCAATGGATTCACATCAGACATTAATACTTTTACGAAAACATTACCTAACTTCAACGGTGTAAAGCTCAGCGTGTGTGGTAAAGGATAAAGCTAGCTAGCTTCCCGTTAAGCGAATCGTACCTACATAAACTCGTAATTAACTCGCTCATTGTGAACCCTCGACAAGATATCAAGGAAGTCCCAGACTAGAAAGAAGACTTTATATTGCTTGTAAGTTTGTGAAACTTTTGTTTATAAATCATTGTTTGTAATAATTATTTGTAATAACTGTTATTGTAAATTGTACTGTTGTGTGTATATGAAAACGTATTTGTGTTAAAAAAGAAAACTGTGTATCAATCTTGTTGGCAAATATCGTAAATTGACTATATATTGGCATATATTTAAATACTAAATCCAAAGTATAATTTAACTACTAAATTTAAATTTATCAATTAACTCAATTTCAGACCATTTGAAATTCTAATATGTAACAAAAACAAAACACAGGTCGTCATTTTTCTGCAACATATTACAAAAAGGTATCAGCTTTTGGAATGCATATACGTCGTACTTGGTGGGTTATTCAGTTAAGTTGAATTTTTACTACTGTAAACCGCACTGGCTTTTTGGTGATCTGGGAAAGCTGCAACAAAATTGTGAGTCATGGGTTACAGGAAATGACGAGTGGCAACACTTGTCACAAAACATAGAAAGACATAAGAATTCTGCCTATCATCTCCATTCTTGTATGATTTTCGCTACATGGAAACTAAAAGGTACACTTAATGAAGAGCTGGAGCGTCAACTAAATATTAAAACTAATTATTGGAGGCAGGTTCTTGATCGAGTAGTCAATGTGACCATACCATTAGCTTTGTCTAACCTACCTTTCAGAGGACACCGGGAAAATTTGCAATGTCCGAATTTAAATAATGGAAACGTTTTGTTGGTCATTGGGTTCTTAGCAAAATATGATCCAATATTAGATGTTTGTTTAAAACAACCATAGTGCACAGTAAGATATTTGAGCCCTGCTATCTAAAATGAAGTAATTGATTTGTTGGCAACAGAGATAACCAAATCAATTAAAACTGATCTCAAAAAGTCCTCGTATTTTTCAATTTGGTTGATACAACCCAAGATATTGCAAAAATTGATCAAATGAGCCTTGTACTAGGATATATCTGTACTAACCTTAATGACCATGACATACCCACAAAAGTTTCTATCAAGGGATCGTTTGTCGGTTTTATACAATACATCGTCATACTGCAGGACAATTGACTGAGAAAATAGTCCAATGTATCAATGATTTTGGTTTACAACTTGAAAATGTAAGTGGACAAGGTTATGATGGCGCTGCAAATATGGCTGGTTTATATTCAGGTGTGCAGACACGAGTAAAAAAAAAATTGCAGCCAGATGCTGAATTTGTACATTGTGCAGCGCATAACCTGAACCTAGCGATAAAAGATGCTGTGGACAACATTCCTCATTGAGCAGGTTTATGTTTTCTTCGGTCATAGCATTGTACGATGGGACATTTTGACTTCTATTTCAACTGATAAAGACCGAAAGCAGGGTCCAGTTACATTAACACGGTTGTGTCCAACACGATGGTCATCATGTCTGGATTCCTTAAAAACTCTACAACATAGATTTCGTGATGTGATGAAAGCACTTTTTGTTATAATTCTGCAGAGTGTGAAAGGTGATGAGCGTAATGATACCACTGCATTACGAAACAAATTTGAAGTGTATGAAACAATGTTTTTTCAGCAACGTTTTGGGTCCGGTAAATGTGATTTCAAAAATGCTTCAGTCAGATATCATCGAACATAGCAAATGTATAGAGATTCTCAATAATATTGGCATTGAAATGAGAAACTTGGGAGACCAGTTTGAATAAGTTATGCGGGAAACTTCTCAGTTCGCATTGCAGTGGGGAATTGAAATCACATGGTTCACAGAAAAGCGAGTTCCAAGAGTTAAGAGTCATTTTGGTGAACTAACTGAAGATGAAAAATTATTTGACCGGCAACGGAAGTTTCAAGTTCACGTATTTTATGCTAGACATTGTCACATTATTATTACGCATTTGAAAATGTGGTTTGAAGGGATGAATATTTCAACCTATTTTCTTCGCGTACCTCAGATCTGTGCCAGATTATAAACTTTTTTTTTCCTCTGCAAAAA